AGGAATTGGGCAAAGTTGTTGGATTTGCCTAAGTTATGCAATTGCCAGATTTCAGCTAACCTTGGTGGTGACAGTGTTGTTTCTTCTTCCTCTTCCTCTTGGAATACATATGCACTTATTCACTGAGTTTTTCTCTGAGTTCTCACATCACTTTTCTGGAGGGGATCCCTCCACAATAGCCATACAATTGAGTTCCCCACCACCCGTATGTCCTGCCCACCCCCACCCCTTGCTTCATTTCTCTCTGTGGCTCCCACCAAGACTTTGAGTCGTGGCCCCCACCCAGGAGCATCTGCGCCTCCCCTTGGCCCACCACCCCAAGTGGAGGTGGTCCTCGTGGATGCCCCCTGCCTCTCGCAACCATTTGACTTTGCAGGCCTATCAATAAATCATGAGTGACATTTTGTCTTCGAAGTGTGCGGATTTTGTTTCCCCCAAAAAAACATCATCATGCAATATTTAGCCTGGAACTTGGCAGAAGGTGGAGCTGGCAGGTTTCCAATGGGTTGTTGTTTTTCTCTCTGTTCCTTCAAGCCTTTTCACCTGAGGAAAGAGAATCCAGGAACTTGGCACCGGGCAAAGCCCTTGGCAGGGTTTCTAAGGAGGTCATGGATAAGGAGGGAGAGAGGGAGGAAAGGAAGGAGTCAGAAAGTAGGACATGCATTAAGAAATCAAGGGAAACAATTTCAGAAGGGTGATTGCAAGCTGATCCAGTCCAGGAAAAGCACCACCCCATCCATATATAGAAGGAGACTTTGGGGTGACATCTTCCTTGGTAGATCAGAATTCGTGCTTTCAAGAAAATGTTGTGCACAGTGTCGAATGGCAGAACCCTTTCCACCCAAGACATTACCCATTTTGACAAAGAATATGCACAAGGCCTGGAGGAAACATCACTAGACTTCTTCCCATTGCTCTCTGCAAAATTCCTCAGGTGTTTTCTCCTGAGCAGGAAGATCTTACCTGCTTTGCCCATCAGATTCCTAAGAGCACATCCAAGGCCAGTGAGAGTCATTGAATGCCCACTGTGCACCTTGGCTTGATGCTTTCTTGGGCAAGGAAGGGCAGAATTCTCTAGAGATTAGTTGCTACTTGAACTGAAACGCTTTCTGCTTCCATCAAAATGTCTCAGGTGTTTTACTGCAGTATTAGCTTCCAAATTCACCATGGCATTTCACTTTTGGTGAAGTTCAGTGGTGGAAACTCTGTGAGCTTCAGTTATTCCTGCAGTCCCTTCACAGTACTGAGTTCCTCCTTGACTCTCTTCCTGCCCCATATCTTAATGCTAGCTGAAGTTATGTGGGAGTCAATGGGAAAGCAATAGCACAGCTTATGTGCAGTGCCGGGGTCCAGGGTAGGTGTGGCCAGGAAGCGGCTGAGGGCCCACCCCCAAGAGGGCCCCACTGGTAAAGCCCCCCTGGAGTTGCCCTCCTCTTCCTCTTTACAGCCTGCTTGTTCACCTGCCTCTCACTGTGGCCCAGACTCCAACGGTGGTCAGAAAGAGGAGAAAGGAATGCCGCTGCCTCTTTGGTTGTTGGCTCTTTTCCTGCAAAGTGAGCAAGTGGCAGCAATGATGAGGAAGGGGAGGAGGTAGTGGTGACAAGGATGGTGAGCAGGTAGACCTCTGGAGGCTCTCAGGAGGCTGCAAGACCCTGCAACCTATGCCAGGTCTAGAGACCATAAATCCTGTGGACTTGCCCTGTGAGCTTTGGGAAGAGGCTGAAAGCCCTCAAATGTAAGACGCTGAAGGCATGTTTCTTCCTTCTTTGGGGAGTGTGGGAAGCAGCATCCTCTCCTGATTGTGTCTCACAACAAGGTGGAAACCTGCTCTACTAATCGCCTATAGACAATGCAGCCCCTCTCTCCATCCCAACTGCCCGTGTTCTTATCCCAGTTTGTGCACCTTGCATTTGCCTGAGCTTTGGGGAATAAAACAGGGAGGGAGCGAGCGGGGAGGTGAGCATGATGTCAGCATGTGCAAATACATGCATGTCCTGCTGGTCCAGATATGCCTGGTCACCATCTGCCATTTGCTGCACAAGGCACTGCTGATTGTGGAAGCCGTTGTTCAGGGATGCCATCAGGTGTGCTCAGCGTGGCAGGCAACTTCTGCATAACGTAAAGGTGATACATGGAATTGTCAGCTAAAGGTATATTCCTGTCGCAACCTGGTCTTCAAAAAAAAGGTCCAAGGAGCAATTCACAAAGGTAGATCAGAGCAGGGTTGAGACAAATGAGAGGTTATAAAGGGGTGAGTTCCACGTCACACTGCTGCCATCAAGATGGCCTGGGATTACGTAGACTCCATGGTGTATCTCCATTTTGAGCAATTTCTTTTCCCAAGACTGTGCATTAATGATGTCTCTTGCTCTTCTGAATTGTTTGACTGAATTAAAGAAGAAAACAGAAGCTTTTGAAATGGGCTAAGCAGCAAGAACATTTAGCAATGAGCTTGTGTGTTACGTTGGCGTAAACTGGGATTTTTGGACTCTAGTCTGGGTAGAGATCAATATATATGAGTTATGGGAACCAGGTGTTCCTCCAGATATTCTTGGACTGTCACTTTCACCATCCCTCAACGTTGCCTATGCTGTCCAGGGTTGAAGGCAGTGGCCATCTAGCAACATCTGCAAGACACCAGTTTTACATCCCTGTTGTAAATGGATTTGCCACAACCTGTTTCTATTAACCGGGTACACCCAGCAAATTTTAAGGAGCAGTTGGGTTGAACCAGATCTCTTTTCCCAGTCCTGTGATCTGGTGGGAGCCATTGGCCATACCAGGGATCAAAGTGAAGACTTCATCATACAGTGCAAGTGGCCCATTCATGCCCCACTGCCAAAGCAGGAAGACTTAAAAGTCCTTGTTGAGAACCCTTTAATCACATTGGAAGTGCTGTAGGCTTTTTTTTACCTCCCAAGGCAGACATCAAATTCACATCAAAGTTCAGAACAGGTAAAAGTAGGTGGCAAACTGTACCAGTGGAATGCCTTTCAAGACTTCCACTCATTGCATTTAAAAAAAATCACCTCCAGATCCTAGATATTTTCTGAGCAAGAATTCTTCAAGTTTGCTTTGAATTTCAGTACAGCCAAACTTCATTTGCAACACTAAAGAGACCCATTCTTGCTTAGATTACATGGAACAGACCAAATTAAGCATGGGCGGGGTAATTTTGAGTAACTCTCACTTTAGGATAGAGTTTAGATCAAAAGTATTTTGGTCTAAACAAGGAAGAGACTTGGAATAAGTCACCAATCAATGGTAGACGAAATGGCAGAAATTTCTTGGGCATAAGTGGGAGAAGACATACTAGACTAAAATCTAGGGCCATCTTGTACTCTCTGCAGTGACAAACCTGAGTCCATTGGGTGCACACTTAACAGGGATCAAATCCTGGCAGTTCAGGTGGAACTCTATGATAGATTTAAGCTTTAAGGCTTCACTGTGTCACATTCACACGTAAACAGTTTCAGGCATGCTCTTTAAAATGATTAGGTTGTGCATCTTAACCAGGGCAAAAGGTAGATCTCTAGGTGTTTTGGACCTTGGCTTCCTGAAACTCCTGCCAACTTCACCAATAATCAGGATTGCTCGGAGCTGACATCCAAAACACTGGGAGAGTGCTTTCTGCCCAACCCAGTGGCTGCATGAAGAGGCCTAGAAGGGTAGGGTTTCACAGCAAAGCAAAGACAAGTTTGGCGGGTGAGAACATCAGAAAAGTCCAACTGGAGAAGACCAGCATTCTGCTTCCCAGAGTGGCCATCCACATGCCTCTGGGAATGCCTGTAGGAAGGACACAACATCAAAATCAAGAACCCACCACATTGCAGCTCTACAGAAAATAGTGCTCAGAGGTAGACATCCTTGAATACGTAGGTTCAGTGTGGCCGCCATGACTCCTGCTCCGTAAGTTGCTGAACCCCTTTTGAAGCCCTCCAAGTCTGTGGTCTTCACTACCAATGCCATGCATTTATTTTATCGTATCACTAACAAATCTGTCTATCAACAAAACACAGGACAGTGTATCTGAAAGAAAGCAAACGATCAAATATAAAGAACATAAATGAACATCCCATAAAAACAAGTGAAACTGCATTGAAATAAAAATGCAGGAGGGGAGCCCAAGGCCTGAAAAACAGTAAAACCTGTTTCTAAATCTTAAAAGACTGGGCAGCTGAAGAGTTCTTTATCAGATCGCCAGCTAGGCTGTAAGCTGAGTAAAGAAGGACTTAGCTCTTGTCTATCCCAAATGACCTGTCATGAGTTTTGTTGCATGGCATTGATAGAAGGTCTCCCCACATTTTCTTTACTACGGTAGCAGTTGTCATGTTTTCACAAGAGTAAGAACTCAATGGGTTTCCAGATAGGTGAGCCTAGTTTTGCAAGGTAATTCTCAGTTTTGATAGCTAGCAATAGGGATGAATTAAATTTGTCAGTTTTGGCTTATCTCCATTTCTCATTTTTTTCTTATCAGTTTAGCCTGTCCCATAGCTTGAGATTTTTTTTCTACAAGTGTTCATGTGAATCCATAAGCATTTTGTGAGGTTTTCTCCTGGTGCATTCATTCACGTATGCATTTTTTCTGGATAGACGCATTTTCACAATGAATTTTCCCAATACGATGCATTTTGAACATTACTTTATCTAATATGGGCACTTTTATTGGGATTCTTGGATTGCAGAACTCCATGACAAAATCCAGAAATGTGCGAATTTCAAGGATAACTGAGTTTCTATTCCCATAGTTGCTCAAAAGTGAGAAATCAAGTCAGGTGACATTATGAATCTGAACCAAATGGATTTCTTCCACATCCCTAGATAACAGCTCTGCAAATGCTTTATGATATATGGCGCTTTATAGAGAACAAAAGCTGCAGCCACTGGGGGTGCATAGTAATGACAGACCTGCCCTTTATGACACGTGCATCACAGTTATATTAAACCTGCAGTTTTACTCTCTGTTCGTCTTTATTCCTTTCCGTCTCTCTCTCCCACAGAACATTAGAAAGTGTCACTCAGAGATACCGGATGCGGGTGATTACCTAACCTGCCATTATTCACATGAAGAACAGAATCTGGAAAAAATACCTTATGTCTACACTCCCTTGTCTTACCTCCCAGAAGACGCCTACTCGTCCAGCCGCACCAGTGCTTCCTTTTGCTGCCCACCCCCTGGATCCAGAGCGCCTTACATCTGTCCCAAGGAACAGTATGTCTAAGAGAACCACACGCTAGCAAGCAATGGAGAAGAGGGAAACAGAGTCACATGTCTTCAGCTCTCACACATCAACAACTCATGCCCAGTCATTGGGATGTGTATGTGTGTGCGCTTGTGTGTGAGTGTGTGTGAGAGAGATGTGCTTCTCCTTTCTGTTGTTTCTTGCTTTTTTTAACTTTTTCTGTTGTTGAAAAGTCTTGATGCATCCGTACTTTTCACTGTTAGATGAAGGCTGCGACCCAACTCACACTCATTAGTGAGTAAGCACCACTGAACGCCATGGGACTCACATCTGAGTAAAATGCATTGGACTGTGGTGTAAGTCTCCACCTCGCTTGGTGAGAAACGTCCTTCCTCCGACCGTTGTGACTTCTCTGCCCCCAGGACGCCCACCCAGCCTTAGGCCTTTCCCCTTCCCCTCTAGGTTTGAACCTGTGCGCCTTCCAGACCAAACTGACTTTGCACCTTGGTGTACCTGGCCGCCTGCACCACTGTTCCCTGCTGGATGGAATGTGTCAGATTCCTGTGTCCACCAATAGTTCCCTGTTCACACAATTTTGCACTATGGCTCAATTCCCGGTTAACCTTAAATTCAACTGGCTAAAACCCTACCTGAAGCTTCATGCCCTGTTTCTCCTTCTGAATGCAAGACTAAGTCCTCCTTCAAGAATCATCTGGCTTATTGCCCCGCGCTTGTGCCTGTCTCGTTCATTTGTAGAAATGTGAGCCCCGTCCCAAGCAATGCAACAAGGCACGGCACGAGGGAGCTGCAGGTGAGGTCGAGAGTGTTGCAGGCGAAGCTCATCCGTGCTGAGGAAATTATGCAGGACTCTACCTTCACCCTGTTGGGTCCCATTTCTTTTTTTATTTAACCCAGAGGGGAATCAGCCCAAGATCATGGAAGGCAAGGTAGGACAGGAGCACGGAGGGATTCAACAAAAACCATTCCTTTGAACCAGGACCAAAAGAGGGGAAAGCCCTGAATTAGAGGGGGGGAGGGGTGTGTGTAAAACATTTATGTATTTATTTATTTCAGGCAAAAGGGGAAAAATTCAACAACCTCTCAGTTTTGCTATGCACATTTATCACTGGAAATCTCCAATAAACTCAGGCAGGTTGAAAAGAATGCACGTTTCAGGTAACCTCCTCGCTCTTAATGAAGGATGAAAGCCAATGCAGAATTAGGCCTATGGAAGCATTTTTGTTTTGTTGTTTGTTTTGTTGTTTTGTTCTGTTTCATCGTCTCCTTTAAACGGTTCCCTTAGTTCTGGCCCACATGTTCCTATATTTGAAGTGTGGGTGGGTGTGAGAACATGTGTACTTTCCTCAAACCTGCCAAGTGTTAGAGATTTAAGGAAATCCACCTCCATCTCATTGTCCATGTGCAATAAGATTGTATGTGGGGGTGGGGGGTAAGGAGCGGGAGTGAAGAGGGGTAGCTTGGGGAGCAGCGGGACGCAAGGGTGAGTATCAGCTAGGATTAATCTGAGACAGCGGAGAAGAAGCAGGACTGGACACGCCTACTCACGGTGTCTCTGCAGCTGAGACCATTTCTCCTTCCTGCTTATGGGTGTCCTTCTGCCACAAAGGCCTTGGGGCAAAGGATTCTCCTACCCCAAGCAACGATCCACCCCTATAAGCCATTAATCAGGTTTTCTGCCGTTACAGTGCTGCGTGTCTCACAGTATGAAGATGTTCTGCTGGGAGAAACAAGATGATAGGAACTGTCAGAACCTAGTTGAGTCAATGTTTATTTTTGTACCTATGGCTGGAGAAGGCTAATATTGTTCAATGCACTTTGGATCCCCTTGGATTTTCCACGCATTTCGGATCCTCACTTTGGAGTTCACCATGCCTGAAGTTTCCCTCCCACATCCTAAAGTTTAGCTTTACCATCCCAGCATTCACACACAAGCTAAACTGTCTTCACACTACCTCAGCCATTTCCTGCAAGCTGAAAAACTAAACCATGAGAAGCCAACGACTTGCAACCACCATGAGAGCAGGAACAAGATGGCAGCACTTCCCCTTGATGCATAGCCACTGCCAACTTCAGGCTCAGAGCCTGTGGTGCCATTTCCTGTCTGAGGCAGGAGACATGGGTGGGCCATCTGAGAAAACGTTAATATCAGGGTGAATGGTGCTCTTGGCTTTTCCTGCCATCAAGACCCAGCTGCCTCTGCAGAGCAAAGAAAAAGGGAGCTACACACTTCCTCACCCAAAGCTGGTGGTAACTCTTGTTGTTGTTAGTGAGGCCTTTGTTGACCATGGTGTGGAATGTTCCTTGGGGGAGGGGGAGGGGAGGGTATGAAAATATGTTAGCACTTTAAATATATGGCCCAAAATTAAATCCCAGCTTGATGAAATCATTCCAGTTATCTTGCTTGGTTGTTTGTACCCTGTTTGATGCTCCTTTTGCTCTGAGTTCTTCCTTCAGTGATGGACCCAAGTGCCACTTGACCTGTGCCAGTCATGACAACCCAACTCTCCTTAGGCAACCAAAACAGCCAAATGGGTGAAATGCATCACCATACTAAGGATCTCTGAACCATAGCCCACTCTTCCCCAGTGGGGTGCCCCCTGGTGCATTGGACTATGAGTCTTATACTTCCAAACCAGTATGAGCAGTGACCTTAGTCATGCAAGCACATGTCAGTTTGCTAGGCCTCCAGCTCTGCAAGCTGAGATTGAAAGAGGATGGGTGGAAAGAGCAGGGAATTCCCAGAGCCATGGCCAACTGGAGAAGAACCTCCATTTTCTGATGTTTCCAAGAGTGGGCCTCTGGACCTCCTGTGGAAGACCTCTATCAAACCAGACTTGTGCTGAAGTGTTGAACAATGCCAGGGAATTCCCTGGCTCAGCATTCAAATGCACTGAATTTGAAGCTGCTATGAAAATATGTCCAGGGAGGGAGCCCAAACCTCCTTTGAGCCAGTGGGCAATTTTGGGATTTTGAGAGTATGGCACGGATGCTTCCACAGGACGGCTGTCATGCCTGGGTGGTGCTTGCCCATTAACCAAGCTGCTGCCTGGTGGGGTAGGGTCGGGGCCTCCTGCAAAACGTTTCTTTCCTGGAAGAACTAGTGAGATGCAAAGCAAAAGAAGGTGCCCACAGAAAAGGCAGAGGTGAGCTCCAAAAGCACAACCCCACTTTTTTGAAACCAGTTGCAGAGGGTCCCGGAGGCCTGGCACTTCGCTTTGCAGCATTCCATTAAAAATGAATCAATACAAAAATCATGAGCGATAAGGGGCAGAGTGTCTTGGTGCCCCCTGAAGGGGTGTCCACAAGTGTATAGGTGCCCAAGGTCACAAGACTGGAGGCAGACCTCCAGCCCGCTCCCTCCCTCCCTCCCCTTGCCCTGCTCAGAGTATTTATAGGCACGGGGTGTAAAAGCCTCTTCATCTCAGAAATGCAAGTTGCCTTGGAAGCTGCACTGTGCTGCCAGCAGCCTGGCTCATATGGAGAGGAGCCCACTTTGCTTGGGGAAACGACCAAATAGAACCAGAGTCGCCCAATTCTGCCTGGGGTTGTCCAAAGCCAGTGCGCATGGCTATCCTAAACACCAGGAGGATGGCACTGAAGGAGGCTCCAGTTCTGCCAGGTTGACTGGCTGCATTGTTTTGCATTTGTAAAGGAAAGAGTCGGCTCTGGGCAGCACCAAGAAGCCTCCACTCCAGGGCAAAGTTTTGCTTTTCAAAGTTGCCTTCGTGTCTGCAACCCTCCCAGCAGAGGTGGCTCGTGTCATGGAAGGCTCAACCCTGTCGAAGGAGCTTTCAGACAGAATGCTTAACACCCAGTGGAATTCTAACTGGGATGCTCCTCAAAGCTCCAAAGACCAGGGGTCAAGAGCGATGGTTGGAGGGCCGGGATGGGGGTCAGAGGTAAAATGCAAGCCAAGCCATTGTGGCTTAGAGAAGTCAATATGGCCATTGCTTTGCTCTTCTGTGTTGGTTCTTCTAAGATGTGCAGATGCGCCCTTCCCACCTGGGCGCCAAGGTCCATCCCCACTGTCAGTGGTCATACTGGGGGGGGGGGGGGGGGGGCAGAGCAGACTGGCCACCGTGTTCAAATAAAAAGTGATGTAAGAACTGCCGCTGGCTCGCTGGCGTCTGTACGATGAACCAAGGGATTATGGAACCAGTTCACACCTTGTGCTCCTCAGGGAGGGGTGGGCCTCCTGGAAATGAGTCATCACTGCTCAAGCACCAGCGAGGGGCGGGGGGAACCGACTTGTCACTTTCCCTGTCCTTCGGCCAAGCTGCTTTCCTGATGGATCTGGTTCATTCTCCCAGCCGGCCATCATCAAGGTCTGGTTCACACACGCCTGATTGATTTCGCAGCATGCTGTAAGCTTGATGGCTAACACATGAATGTGTGAATTTGCTCAACTGAATGAACTGGTTGTGGGGGGGGGGGTGCTCCTCCCCCAGTAGTGCATAAGAATTATTTCTGGGTTTTTCCTTTGCTAGTGGACCATTCACACATGCAAAGCAGGAAGTAACAAACATGCCTGTATGAACCAGGCCCGTGTGTGCAGTAATCAAGCATGATGCACGCCAATTATGTGTATCATTGATGTGTAAAACTACGCTTGATACAGCTTTGTTTATCCTGTCTCCTTCTGGCCAAAATCTACATCTTGCAAGGAGTTAATGTGTGAACATGAACTGGGGCCGGGGAGGGGGCCGAGAGAGAGAGAGCGAGAGAGAGAGAGATCCTGTTTCTTGAAGTGTTAGATGCTTGGATTAATGAGTGCCCTGCACATGTCTTTGCTTCAAGGTGATGTTTGACAGGCCCTGTCTGGTGCTGACACGCCACATGGAAAACATCAAGGAGGGATGGGGTTGAGCTGTGAAAGCTGCAGCTTCCTCCATCAATAGTGCAAAGAAGAGAGACAGTTCCCATTTAATTACATGCTCCACTAATGCCCATGAATCACGGTGGCCGCACACTGACTCCTCTCGCCGGTGGCATCAGCAGTGATCAAATATCTCCTGGCA